AAAGTTTTGAGTGTAAACTCTCCTTACCAGTTAAAAAAACAACTCTAAATTACCAGTTATTCATAACGTGAACAATAGTTGGACCAACAAACATAAGCTGCTACTGATTTCGATAAAAACCTTTCCAGTGTTTATTATTTATCATAAACACCCATTAAACTTTGATTAATTGTTTGTTCACGGTGGATAAATTACTTGTCTGAATTTGTTTTTGAATAGGAAGTTTTCTTTAAAACAATTTTGCTCGTTCTGCCCCAGTTACTGTTTGACAATTTATCGTAAAAAAAAACTTGGGCTAATTATGAAAAGCTTTTGTTTCAAATTTCTATTTGGTATACTGACAAACTGGTTTAGCTCATTCATATTTTGTGTCCGTGTTCTTGTGGTTATTAAGAAAACCGGCCTTCGAAACGTTGAAAATTGAATCGTTATATATAATGAATACTAAGTGTTTCATTGCAATTCATTCAAATCTCTTTAGACTACAAGAATATTTAGTTTTCAAAAAGCCTTTTCATATCTTATATTGAACACTGCATATAGGATTTCGACTGATATATAAATGGCAGTATACTTGTAGTATTATGCCCTAAAGTGTGCATTACAAGACTTTAAATTACATCAGAAGTTTAGTTTTGAAGGAAGATTTGTAATATATTTTTAATGAGAGGTAACAAGAGGTGGCTGTCGTGCGCCATTGGTTAAGAGGATAACGCTGTGGCGTTTGAGACAAAGGGTACTGGGTTCAAGACTCACTGGGAACAACATCACTCACTGGGGTGACAGGTACATCCAGCCGAGGAGTCTCACTTTGGGCGAAACGCGCCTCCTGGATTCCTCTGCCAGTCATCAAGATCAATATTTCCAACGAGTTTATAGGTTTGAAAAGCGGTCGGTTTAATCTTCTTCTAACCATCAGTGCACAAAAACGGTGAGGAACAACTCAGATAGTTGGCCTTATATAAAAAAAGAATATTCAAGTTGGTCTTTTCTCAGTGATTTTCGATCTTTCATAGAATTATAAAGTTCTCTTTTTGTCACTTTTGATGTACGGAATATGATATTTCAATACTTCGAAAAAACAACATCGTATTTTCAAAACAAAATAATCTCCTTATCCAAAACAACTTTTGTAGTGCAATACGGAATCCTCAGCACGTAATATTTTAACAAATTCTTTCACTATACAGTTATTTCTAAATGAAATTGTTATTTCATCTGAATAACGTTAATAATAACAGTAGTAAAGGCAATATTGTGAAACGAACATTTGGTCCTACATCAGAGTCTGGTCTAGACTGATGAGTGAATAAAATATCGAGCTTGACTTCGGTGGTGGTAGTTTGTTCAACCAGTACCAAACTCTGCAATTCGACATAACTATCCTATGAATATTAATGTGCTGTTTTTTTTTACTGTATTTCTTCCTGATTTAAGGTTTTTTCTTCGTTTTGTTGTCATCTTGGAACATGGCAGCTTAAAAATATTTACGTTTAAAATTGAAAAGGGAGAATTTGATAGAATGTTTCCAGTGGAAACTATTTTGGTAGCACCACGAATAAACAGGCCATCGCTTGAAGACGTAGATCAATTGAAATAGAGTCCAAAACACTTTTTGAGCCACTCTTAAAGAATTAGTATTAGTTTCATTGTGGTTTGTCCATGCGACTTAGAATAATCTTGGACAGTAAAATAGAAGATAATTTAGTATAAGTGGGAATATTTCACTGGTTGGGTGCATACACTTCACGTAGGATTTTCAATTGATGAATGCTGCATAAATGTCAGTAAATAGGCGGGAAGATGTTCACCTCTACAGTATGTTCCACTCAACCTCCTTAACGAACCATTTAGATTTCAGAGAATATCATAAGGGTAGATTATTTCATTTTACAATTCATCTGAATACTGAAAATTAACAACAATATTCTGGTTTTTCAAAAGAACAAGAAAAACTATGCGAGCAGGATAGAACGGATCCATTTTATTTCAATGGTATCTTGTCAAATCCTTACAATTAGAATATCAGGAAATACAGTTTCGCATCATTGATTTCATAAATGGACTCATTATGAAATTACGTAAGTAGGTATTAAGATAAATAAGCAAAATATTGTGGGTTAAGCTCAGTAAGTTGAAAACATTCAACCTAAACAAAAAATGCTTCAACTAAGTAAAATAGAAAGAATCAAAATCGAAGTCTCATAAAGAAGGATGCAATCAACTAACAGTCAAGCAAGGTCACCAAAGTAGACAGAAGCTGACCATAGCTTCTTTTTATCTGACAAAATTTCATTGAATTATCTTCATAATTGTAACAGTTTGTCACTATTTATTAGACTTTTTAGAATTCGCCGTTACGATTAATATTTTTACTCGTCTTAACCACTAACTGATACTCTCTTTTGTCTCAATGAACTAAAGTATTTTGAAATGAATGGAGATTTCAATTTTTTTTAGCTAGTATTCATCACGGACTGACATCAGTTGGAAAACCATTGAAAACCTGAGAGCACTGGACATTCATCTCAAAATGCATTACTCTATAGTATTCATTAGTGACATGCCTCCAGATGGACATCATGAAGTTGTTATGAGAAACCGTGGCCTGTGGGGTTAACTAGTCGGAAGAGAAGCAGATCCCATTTGAGGATCTTAGGTGATAGTCACACTATATTAAGAACTGGAAGAAGTAGGAAACTGTGAACCACTAAGCTCTGACCCAGTCCCTGTATAGTTAACATATTCGTCGTAAAGCCTGAAGGTCCTGAGTTCGATTCCTGAATCGCAGGTGCGTGCTGCTGAGGAGTCTCATACTAGGACAAAATAGCTCTCTAGTACTCTCAGGTTTTCATTGGTTCTCCAACTGATATCAGTTTGTGATGAATATTACCTCGGAACTAAAGTATGTTGAATTCTCAGTAAGACTATGTATTTTGATATTCTATTCTGTAAGCATGTAACTAGATACCATCGGAATTAAAGGGATTCGTTTTATCCTACTCCCAGTGTTGTTTTTGCTCTTTCCAAATTTATAAAGGGGGATTCCTGTATTAAATATTCTGTTGAATGAATTGAATACTATGTGTATATCAAGCCTACTATTGTTTCTTCTTACGATTAATTATGTGCCGATTTTTATTCGACTCAAATGGATTGGACAGTTTGTTTTAATTTCTGCTATATTCATATGACAGGTTAATTTAAATGCTAATAAACATACAATTTTTCAAATGCCAGTTGTAGATTACATAACTGTAGGAAAATTAACATCCAGTTGTCACCAAAGACTGTCATTAACTGTAAGTGTTAAATATTCTACACTTGTTTGAAAGTGTTACACAATGAGGTTACCTCAAGTATCAATGAGAAATATATACCTGATTACGAGAGCTTAATTTATATTATCTTTCTAAATCAATGATAGCATTGTTATTATTCTAATGTCCCGGACCAAATTACAACTCACTTATAATAATAAGCTAGTTCCTCAATCCGTACTTCTTCAACTCAGTCACCAAAGGGTAACTGTTTTGTGAAATTACAACTGGTAGTCTTAAAATTAAGACTGTTACTTCTACAGCTGCAGTACAGAACATACCTAATTTCAGAGTTAAACTTCTTTCAAAAAATATGCTCGACGGAGGTTTATTGCGTGACCCTATATCTTTGAGATGAACACATTGGTTGCAGCTTGGAACAAAAGTCTGATTTTGCATCTATCCTTTTAGCATTTTTAAGGAAGAATTTCATCCATGAGATTTCGAAATTACATATGGTTCATTCAGTCGACTATAGGGCTAACTACATGCGCAATATAGTTAAACAAGTCCATTAAATAATTCATGAACCTCCTCCTAAGTGAACAAAGGCAGAGAGAATGGGAGCAACAGCCTTATACTTGAATATTTGGTTGGAATTGCTTCGAGTTCAGTGTACCGGAATTCATTCGCACTCAATAACAACCAGGCTATCTCAAAGTTTTATACACGCTCTTACTGCACACTGAAGAAGCAAGCCATTACCAACTGTAAGATAAAAAGATTAATTTGCAAATGATGTACAAAAAGATGACAACTTAGCTCCCGCTAAATTATTCATTTCAACATAAACTCCAGAAGGGATTTTTCATAAAAGATCTTCATAATGTAAAGCTGATCGTTATCTTTCAAACAGGCAATGAGAGTAAATAGTTTCTTCAATTTGGAGAATTGTGGGGATTTATTTATTGATATTAGATTGGTACCCGCCATGGAATGACATCAGTTAGAGAAAAATAGAAAACCTGGGAGCACTGGAAAACTGCTTCATTCTACTATGTGACATATCACCAGTTCTCACACACGGAGACACTAAGTATCTAGTGTTCATTGGTGACTAGCTTCGAGAGGTGAGTCTCGAAGTTCCAGTGAAGTCGTGAACGTTGGGGCCAACGAAGTCGAATATGTGAGCAGATGGAGGTTGTGCTATATCGGGAACTGACAGAAGTAAGGAGTTTGCACCATCAGATTCCAGCACAGTGGCTGAATGGCAGCCTGGTGACCGTGGAACGTGAAGGTCCTGGGTCTGGTCCCTGTTAAGGTCATGACCTCGCCCTTCTGAGAAGTCCCCTACTAGGATGAAGCAGCTGTCCAGCGCTCCTTAGTTTCCAGTATTTCTCTGAATGATGCCAGCCCATTATGAATACCAACCCGAAAGCTTTTATTATTAGTAAGTCATGTGTCTAAAACGTATTTGATTTACATCCAATATAAGCCCTCCTTGCAGAATGAAACCAGCTCGATAGTAGGTGAACTATCATCAAAAACATTACGTCATCAACCGTAAATCACCGAACTTTCAAATGGGTTATATTCCTATTCCTCATATTACTAATAATGTGCTCTAAATGATTTTCTGAATTTAACTGACGTTTGTTATAACCAGAGTAGGTTGAGTACATAATTAACATGAAATCTAATTTTTTATAGGTAAATGAAGGCTGATATTCAAAAACTTACCACAGCTACAGCTGGTGTAGTTAATATTTCATTCAGTGACACTACTGTGACATAGGCAACATTAGCCAGTGTATAGACAACTGTGACAACCAGACATGAAAAGACAATTGCAATCGGTAGATCACGTTTAGGGTTCTCCATCTCTTCAATCATACAGTTTAAATAATTCCAACCAGAATAGGCAAACAGACCAGAATAGAAGGCTTTAGCTATACTTCCTGGATACCAGTTAGAGCCGTAAAACGGGTCTTTGAATTCATCAGTATAACCTGTATGTATCAAATCAAAATGAGAATATGTGAGATTTAACATTTTTTGTGATTCTCATTATTGTAGGAAATCTTGATAACCAATATTCTACAGGATGATTATTTAAATGATGTTTTACTCATCACCACAGATGAAATATCCATCCAAAACTTTAGAGACGCAAACCCAAGGCGATTCGGTTAGTATATGGATTTATTTTTGAGGAGTCGGATGTAATCATTTGAAGCATTGACAAAATGAGGGTTTTTCGTTTGCCTTTTCCACTCAACGCCTTTCAGCTTTTTAACGCTACAATGTGGTAGACTGAACATTATGTTGTAATGTGGTGATTATTTGTAGCTTAAGCTGTGGATATTCACAGTGAGCTGTTCTCTAAGCTAGGATTTTAGTTGAGAAAAGTTACAACGTTATGCTAAGTATCATAATCAATGCATCAGAGCTTCATTTCCTTGTGAAATAAAGGCAGTGAAGCTATAATGCATCGATGACAATATGTAGCATGATATTGAAACGTCCTCCAACTAAAACTTAAGCTCATAGAACAATTCACTGTAAACACATTACTTTGTATGTTTCAGTTCTATTTTCGTAAACCGTTGTAAGGGCTGAAGATTAGACGAAAATGATGCCGATTATTATTCACTGACCAATGCAGCTGGTCCGGTTTTTTAAGATACGAGTAATATATCAGACAGCTAAGTAATAACATCTCTAGCTAGCTTACTTTGTAATTTTAAAGCTCAGAAAACATCTAACCACTATGCCCTCATCCTGAGCTAAATATCTTTTCCATCATTTTATAATTTTGATCTCCTTTTGTCATCAAGATCAGATAACAGAAACTATGGGAATGAAAGATAATTCCAAAAGTGACATAATTTTGTGACTGCTCACTAGAAAAAACTGGGTTATTATGTTATAAAGATTTTAAATATGTAAGCAAAAGTTAAAATATTTGCAATATGGGTGGGAGAAAAGCAACTAAATTCTACAGTATAACATCGTTAACAGTAGTCCACTTACCAAACAATAGAAAAGGGATAATAAATGGTTATTTAGAGAACAAATGAAGGGAAATAAATACCAGAGTATGCAAAGACACGATCCCAAAGTGACACTCTTGGTTAACAGAAAGAAGGCAAATTTCATGGTGACATTCACTGCGGACTGATATCAGTTACAGAATCGTTAAAAACTTGAGAGCATTGGACGACTATTCTATACTGGTATGAGACTCCACAACAGTTCACACCTACGAACTCCATGGGGATGAAACTGAAAACCATGAGGTAACATAGCGAGGATGCTGCCACTTAGCCGCTGGGTTGGAGTCCAGTAGTTCATATATTCTTACTTCTGTCAATTTCCCTTGAGACCTGGTGTTCCTCAGTTAAATATCTTCCTGGGTAGTGGATTCGCATTGTTATGAAAATCCTTGCTAGGAAGAAGCAGCTGTCCGGTGATGTCAAGCTTTAAGTGGTTCTCCAATTGATACCAGTCCGTTATGAATGCCACCTTGAAATCAGTCTATCCTCACAAAACTACTAAGTGAATAAAGTAAACGTTGGCGAATTTTATGATAACCAAGAAAGAAGCTTTTAATTAGTTATGGTGCTCAACAAAAAGAGCTGAACTTTGTGCAAACTTATCTATGCTAAACGTAATGCATTGAAGATGTGACCGATTACAGTTTTTCAGGAGACATTTATGCAACAGAACAGCAACAACAAGCGGAACAATGACATAAGGTATGTAAAGAATTCACCATAAAATATAGGTAAAGTTTTGATCCGACGTGAAATAATCTTTTTCATTCAATAGTCAGTGATGGTTAACCAAACGTGTTGCTCAGTGTTTTGAACAACATAGATATAAGCCCGTCTCTATCACTTTATTAATAAGCTGTTTAAGTAAATCTGACAGTCTGTATGACCGGATTCTGCATACAAATTCATCACAAGTAAGTAATGGATGTAGTTATTTTGATCTTAAAAGCAGAGCCACTTTGGTTACGGCTGAGCATTCAGGTATCAGTTACCTACTGATGACCAATTCATTTACCTAATCCAATTATATAGGCTATTAGTGGTAGCCTGGATGGATTATTGGTGAATTTTCCAACTTCAGCAGCAATTGGTACAGGTTCGAAATGCCAGAGCAACATCAATTTCCTTACGGGTGCATATAATTCTTGCTGATGAGTGCCAGCGTGTAGCCTAGGTTCAAGGGTTCCTACTGATTGACTCCTTGCACCGAAGATCAAAATAAATAATAACAACTTTACGTACAACTCCCAGGAAAAAATGTAGAGTCAGAAAGCAAACAAGTTAATCTACTTTTTGACTGGATATGCCACTTCTAACAGAAATCTTGTACAAACCACAGCTTATGTGAGAAATGCCGGTTTAAACTTTAAAATTTGTAAATAATTTTCAATTTATTAAAGCACTTTATGAAAACGGTATCCACTAGATGCAGAATGGGAATCAGAAGTGGAGTATGTACCGAAGAGGTCAAAAGATACTCAAATGCCAACGATTTTCCAAGTCGCTGCTGTTGTCAAGATGTAAATTCAGATCAATCGTTTAAAACTCATTGGCCCCACCTCCATTTTAAGCTTTTCCACATCATAATTTCTTCATTTAAAGTAAGATATTCATCTCAAGATAATGCACTTCTCATTTATTTCATTTCTCGTTTACCATATAGAAAAATACTAAAACCAGAATGGGAACTATTTAGTTTCTCATTGGTCCTGTACATTATTTCACTTACCTAACCCCATACATACGAAACCAGTAACTATAATCAAAAGTAATGCAGCCATTTTTGCAAAAGTAAACGCGTCTTGAATTCGTGTAGCCAACTTTACTGAATATGCATTGGCAAAACCAAGAATTACTGAAAAAGAAATAAAGCATTGTTTATACCTATTTAGTGTTGTATTTCAGTGGTTTTGCAAAAATCTCAACAAAACTACTTGTTAAAACACTGTTAAAGATTTTCAATCAGTTTTCCGTTTTCGAATAACTCCAGATCACGCTTTTTAGGTTTACTATATATTCTACCGTGAAAAATAAGCCAACCTTCTGCTAGTCTATCTATATTCTGGAAGATATTTCATCCAAGTGTAGGCTTATGACGACGGAGTAAGGTCGAATCTAAATTTGGAACGATGGTTTCCTAACTTCTATGATCCCTTACAATCTGGGAGTGATTTTGTTTTGACCAAACAATTGTGTACATAAGTTGCGCATAACTTTCAGAGATAAAAACTGAACACTACAATATTAAAAATACAGAGGTTCGGATTTCTTCTGAATATAAACTGATTTAGTTTATTTACTAACAGAATTCTTTTTAGGCGTTTCTGCGATTAGCAGGCAGAAATTCAAGTGTACTAACAATATTTTAAAAATAGTATTGCATCTTTTCAACATAAGATTATATTAAGTCGGTAATTCATTCCTCGTTTGCAATTGGTATGAATACTTGTCTTTATTCAAAAACTACAGGCCATACAGTATGTTAAACTGAATGCTACACTGTCTTCAGTTGTGTCACAAATCGATTGTCTAGACTGCTTTTGGTGTAAGGAATAATAATGTAGAAAATGGTAATCTAAGTCTTCTATTCATCTGACTTTCAGAGCAAACTGTTCATTGTAAATTCATTGATACTACAAATAATACAACAGTCTCAGTTTCACTTATTTGCTACCATACTCAGCTGCTATGCTTTGTATATAATTAGTTATTATTATTATTTGTCCTTTGGGTTCCCAGTGAAACATACGGCTTCAGTAGTACGTCTCCATTCCATTCTGTTCTCTGCAATCTTTTGAACCTCGCTCCATGATAGCCCACAAGCTCTCATTTCCTCCTCTCACGATCTCCTCCATCTCACCCTCAACCCGGACGCCCAACTCATCGTTTCTCAACTGGGTCGCGCTCGAAAACTGGCCTGACACATGATGTCCCTCAATGGTCTTCTCAGTGCATGCCCAATCCATCTCCACTTCCTTACAGTGCATATTTGTTCAGCAATAGATTCTTGGTTAGTTCGTCTCCAGGCCACAATTCCTCCTTCCTTATTCTTTCTGGCAATCCATCTGAGCTTCAGTAACAAGCCAGCGTAGGTGGCACTTGTTGATGAGTGTCTGTAGTTTGTTGGAAATCCCTTTCGAAACGCACCATTCTCCGAAACATACAGAAGCACTGATTTGACGTTGGTGTTGAAAATCCGGATCTTGTTCACTCCTTATGTTGAGTGCAGTGCAGTAGATCTCCACACTGGTTTCAGGTTAATGAACGCCTGTCTCACTGTCTTCTCGATCCTGGCTGGCTTCGACGTCCTCATGTGTGCTTGTGCCGCCTGTAGTTGGAACAGTGCTGCCTTGCCTAGATAGGTGGAGGAGACTACTTCCTTTAAGTTCCTCCCTTTGATGGTGACTGATGCTTGTTGTTGTTGTTGGTGGTGGTGGTGGTGGTGGCGTTGGTTGGGTATCTTCATCAACTCTGTCTTCTCCAAATTCACTTGAAGTCCCGTCTTGGCTGTCTTATCTACCAACTTGTTAGTTTTCGCCAGTAGATCTTCAAGTTTGTGCTACAAGACATCAGATACAAATCATCGGCGAAATCCAAATCTTCTAGGATCTTTTCCCCGCTTCAGCGTATCCCCCTCCTCTCGCTCCTCACGGTTTGTTGCATGATCCAGTCCATCACAATCAGAAAGATCATCGGTGATACTAGGCAGCCTTGTTTCACTCCTGTCATCACTTCAAAGGCATCACTAGGCTTCCCATTGTGAATTACTTGGCATGTGGCGTCTTCATATAGTTGTTGAATGAGGTTCATAAAGGTTTGTGGTATTCCGTAGTGTTGAAGCAACTGCCAAATTACTTCTCGGCCGACGCCGTTAAACGCCTTTTCAATGTCGATGAAGTTGAGGTAAGGCAAAGAGTTGGCTGCCATTCTACGCTCCCTTCTGTGATGATGCTTAGCGTTGCAATCTGATCCGCATATGACTTGTACTTCCTGAATCCAGCCTGTTCTGATCGTAGTTTTGAATCCAAAGCATTCTTTAGTCTCTCCAGGATGATGCGGTTTAATACTTTGCTTGGTGTGGACTGGAGCATGATTCTGCGCCAGTTCCTGCAGGGACTTCGGTCTCCCCTCTCTTGGAGTTTGACAAGGTAGCCTTTCTTTCAGTCGGCAGGTGCCTTTCCTTCCTTCCAAACCTTCTGCAGTAGTGGCTTCAGCATGTCCGCTGTCTTCCTTGCGTCTGTTCTCAGTGTTTCCGGTGGGATTCCATCTGCTCCTGCTGCTTTCCCGGCCTTCGTTAACTTTACGGCATTCAAGACATCTGCCTCTGTCAGAGAGCCTGTGTTCACTTGTGGTTCTGCAGTTCCTAGTTGTTTTCTGGGCGAGTTTTAGTTATTGGGCGTTCGCTGCACTGTTTCTTTTGATGATTGCCTTTGGTAAGTAGGTTTCCCTCACCATCTTTCATCTGTGTTGATCTCTTCTCTCCCAGGTAGTAACCTGGCTATTTGATATAATGTTTTCAGGTCTCTGTCTCTCCTACCAACAGCCTGTTCTGCTTCATTTGCCAGTGTGTCGTAGAATTGTCTTTTGTCTTACCACGCACTCTTCCTCACTTCCTGGTCCAGTGTTTTACACACTGTACCCAGTTCCTCTTCTCGTTGTGCATCCTTCCACTAGTTCATCTTCTGCTTCACCATCCTCCTCTCCATGCTCTATCAGCTTCCATGTGTCCATCGAGATCCATTCCTTATCTTCTTTCTTCTTCCTTCCTAATATGGCTGTGTAGGTTTCTTTCCACATAGCTTTCAAAGAGTTCCAGTGTCCATCCACACAGGTTTCTTCAGTGATGTTGCTCCATATCCCTCATCTCGTCCTGATGGCTGACGTGAAGATGCCCTCTGTAGTTTTGTCCTCCAGTTCTCTTTCTGTTCTCGGTGCTGAACTTCAACCGTGGTCTATCATCACCAACTTCTGTGAGGGCCATCAACTAGACTTCGAAGGTTCTTTGCACCAGATAGTGGTCTGAACCTACATCTGCTCCTCTTCTTGATCTCAAGTCAAGTAGGCTGTCTGCGTCTCCACACTGAGATCAAGTCGATCTCATTTGTAACGTTTCCTGGTGTCTGGTGAAATCCATGTCACCTTGTGGATATCTTTGTGCTTAGACACAGCGCCTCAATCACCAAATCGTTGAATGCACAGAAATCCGCAAACAGTTTCTCATTCCGTTGATTTCACCGAGCGCTTCTCGACCCATGGTTAGTTATCTTCCAGATTGTCCGCTCTGAGTTCGGCATTTATGTCACCTATTTGAACTTTGATGTCACCAAGTGGATTGGGGTTACGTTCAGTGCTGATTGCAGTTGTTTACAGGATTCTTCCTTCTTCTGCTCGTCTGTATTATTTGTAGGTGTGTAACGTAGCACTGTATGATTGTGATCTTCCTTCGTTTTGAGTTAAATCTTGCTGTCATGATCCTGGAGGAGATTGGTTTCCACTGTATGAGAGCCTTTGATGCTCTTGGGGACATCATGATAGAGACTTCAAAACTCAGTGTGCTCGTGGTTGTCGTCTGGGTGACAATATGGGAGCAGATTACTGACACTTCAGTCGACAGTTTGAAGAGTTCACTTCCATTCCACCTGCTTTCGCAGTTTCCTAGCACCTCTATGCAATTTTTTCTCATCTCTTTTTGCAATCTGGGCAGCCTTGTAAGGTTCAAACATAGTGTGGACATTCCATGTCGCTATGTTTGCTTTCGCTTTCATCGAGAGAAGACACATTTGCCCGGCCAATCGGCTTCCCGAAGACTTTCACCAACTGGCGTCATTTCGTCCCTCCGATTCCAGCGAGGAATACGTTTGTTTTTATGTTTTGTCTGTGCTTTGAATTTTCTGTAGCGGTTGGATTGGTTTTCGGGGTAGGGTTGCTAGCCCTATGCCCAACGTTCGCTCTTTATCCTGGCTTAGGACCGGCTAATAACTAGTGAACTAGTTAACCAGGTGAGGTTCTATAATTAGTTGATTCATCCATTTTTCGAAATAAGCTTTTGGAACTAATGTAGCCAAACATGGAAACATCAATGGATATTCAGACACATTGAGCAAACAGTGTAAAAACTTTCGGCGGTTCAGAAAAGCAAACTTAGATGATCAGTTATCACATAAGTAGAGAGTAAGTTGAGTCCAATAGACAAATGAAGTCTTTAAATTATCAAAGCAATTGTCCATGTATTGTTTCAGCGTGCAAAAACTGACTTTTTTTGCTTCAAACGATTTCGCTTGTAGTATACATCATTCTATTACGAAGGTTGTATCAACTTTCTTGAAATCTTCAAAAGTTTACATTTAAGACGCTAATACTTAGCGAAAGGTCCATAAAAGGTCATGCAGAGGTGACATTAGGCCGATCATTCTTGTACATCGAACTAAACAGTAGGAAAGTATAAAGTCTAAACATATCGTTGTCTATTGGTTGGCTTCATTAGCCTCACAAGCATGTGTGACTATGAAGAAGAACATATTCGATGGAATATCTTATGCCCTAGATTATGTTAGAATCAAGACTATCTAGACTTTCAGGCATTATCATACTACAGGCTGAAAGATGTTTGTGTGTGTGATATACACAATGGACGATGACGTTTGGATGTTCACGGTATCTTTTCATGGAAGAGATATAATAGTAATAATTCTCCACTGACAAGTACTTCATCTTAAGAAAGTGAGGGGCTTGGAGATGGCTAAATATATCGTACGACCTATCAGAAAATGTCATAATTTGGTTGTATATTGCATTAACACTGAATGGCAAAATGGAACGAATGGTTTCCATTGTATGTGATAAGACTAGTTTTTC